CCCGCAGGCCGACAATAAACTGAAATCCAAATTTTCTCAAAAAGTTGGTTTTTTCCCATTTATTTTTCTGCGTTGAATATTATTCTATGAAAGACAAAGGGTGGACATTTGGGTAGTTGACAATTAATGTTAACTGATGATCTGTAATTCGATTTTTTTTTCTGCTTATGATGATTAGATCATATCTGATGTCAGAATATCTTAAACCATGAGTTGGAAACTTTGTTTTGTGTTTTTCTCCTTTGTTCCAACTGATTTTGTGTTTCACTTTGGTCTACTATGGAAAAGGATAGGTGGTACCCTGGAAGGTATCAGGTGTCTGTCTCATGCCCGGGTGTGCATTGTTGAAAAAGGGCACTGTCACTGAAAACATCTAACAGATCAGATTCAAAAGTTGGTAGAAGTTCATGAATGGGAGGTAGTTCACCATAAAATCCGATCAACTTTCCAATTTTTCATCAAGGTACTTTTCAGAGTCAAGATGTAAACAAAGATTAACACAAACCATGCCTCAGCGTCCACATGATCCCAGTCTCATGCAAACATCTTTCAGCACATGAATTTTATAATCAAACCCTGTTTCTGTGTTTGGAAATTGGGTTTCCTTGAGTATTGACATAATCAATTAGACTGAGCAGATCATTTGACATAGATGGGGAAACACCAAAGCAATCTGCTTGGGGCCTCTGGCTTGAAATTTGATTTGTTTAGAAAGAGGAAAAAGGTAAGCAAGAGACAGAGGAACACTGTCCTTAGAGTCAAACATCCAGACAGGGAGAAACTGATATGCAGAAAATGTAAGCAAGACTGCAGTCTCCATTGCAGCAAACTTGAAGGACTCAAATAGCTAATCACATGTTTATAAGATTGATGATCCTTCTTTGCTATCAATTTATAGTATTTTTTCAGCTTGTTTGAACCACTCTGGCATTGCAAGAGGGGAAAAATTATGTTAACCCACACAATCAATAATCTAACTATTATAAATATATAGGTTAATTTTCCTAGATATATATTTCTTAATTTAACAATTAATTCATACAAGCAATACTATCCATATGAGTTACTTATATCAACTTATATAGATCAATTAATTTTAAGGTTAGAAGTATTTTTTAGAAGGAAATTTAATTTACTATTGAGATAAAAAGAAGGCTAAATTGATTAAATTAAATATTGTCACATAGTTAATAAATAAATATAAAAATTGAGAATTTTTGAAAAGAAATATTTATAATTTTAAAAATATTTATTTTGAAAGGCTTTTTAAGTTGTTATAGAGGGTGACAGTACACTAAATATCCTTTTTTTTTAAAAATAAAGTTAATAAAAAAATTGACCAAATAAATTTTTTTACTTCACTATAAACAAAACGGTGCGTTTAGGTGCAGCCAAAACTTCGTGTTCTCGTTCAGAAAAACCCAACCTTTGTTCACTGCTAAGCAGAAACCTAAAACCTTTGCCTCTCGGTCTGCAGATCAATCCTAAAGATGGCATGGGTGCAAATCCTGAAGAATACAAGGGCAATACCTGTTTCAAATCCATGTGGGTTCTCGAGGCTCTTCTCCAAGTCCAGTCCTTTTGTTGGTAAGATCTTCTCTTTGAAGCATAAACCATAGCAAGCACATTGAGAGTGAAAAATGTCCATGGTTCTGTTTGGTTCCTGGGAAAGTAACATGAAAGTGTTTGCGTTTTAGTTGTTAGTATTTTGGGTTTTTCTTCTTTAGGCCTTTTTCTTTGGTTAACTGTTGAGAGGCAGTTTATGTTTTTTGGGCTTCTAGTATTGCTTAGAAGAATAGGGAATTGAGGATGAAGTTAGGATCTTTTTCTTTCTTTTGTTTTTTTTTATTCATTGAACAGTGAATGAATAGCTAAATGATGCTAATTTGAGTTGGCTTTTTTTTTTTTTAATTCTTTTATTTTATAAGAAAATGGTGGAAAAGAAGAGATAAAAAAGAGAACTTTGGACATTTTGATTCATGTTGTTTAGATTATAGGATTCTCAACAGATGTCAGTTTAAAATAAACTACATAGAGCTTACTCAACATGAACTTGGTCCTTTCTCATGTCTACAAGCTAAGTAATAGGCTAAAGAAAAGCACCTGAATCAAGACAGCTGATAAGGTTTTTTCCCTCTCGTGTCATAAGGAGCAGTTATTTTGCCAAAAGTAATTCAATTTTAAATGTCACTTCTTTTGGTTAATTGTAATCTTAAAATGGTGAAAGATGAATTTGAGAAGTGATCTTGTTATTATTGCAGTGAAGGTTGGAATACCAGAATTTCTCAATGGAGTAGGGAAGGGGGTTGAAACTCATGTGGCGAAGCTGGAATCTGAGATTGGTGACTTTCAGAAACTGCTTGTCACCCGCACTCTTAAGCTCAAGAAACTTGGAATTCCTTGTAAACATGTAATAATTCTGAACTCACACTAAATAAAACTTGCATTTAATATGGCCTATGTTGAGCAATACATGAACACTTATGCATCCCACTTTTATGCAGTTATAGTTGATTATCCAGTTATGCAGTACCATTAATGGCCTTTGTGAGCATTACTTTTTGTTTGCTGCCCCAACATTGTTGCTCCTTGTATAGGAGATGAATCCTAGCATGGTGCTTATCAAACTGGACGTTGCACCTAAACTATTAATGATACTGTTCTTTTATGGCCTTAGTCAAAATTCCTGTGTTTATTATTTGCTTGATTGCATAATATAGTAAACTAGTTTAAGTAGTTCACTAGCATGTACCACTTAGGATCTACCAAAGCTTAAGCTTATGGATATGGGCTCTAAAGAATAGTTTTAAAGATTAGGATAGAAACGAATGGAATTAAACTTGTTGGAATGGTTTAGCATTTGTAAATTAACGTGTGTTTTGATCTCAATCAGAGGACATTGTTGTGATGAGCAGTTTGTTTGTTACCCATGGATGAGGCTTTCCTTGACTTGACATAAGGAGGGCGATTCCTTTTAATCCTGTATCATGAAATTTGAGAAGTTTGCCCGGCTACTTCGTCCATACTCTCTCTCAGAAAGAAAAAAAAAAGATAATAATAAAAAAAACCTTTTAATGGGTTGTAGAGAAGATCAATATAGTGTGTATTAGTGAGCATTTGCTGGTTTATTGTAAACCTAACAGGTGTGATCGTGCAGCTATGGTTACTAATTGTTATATAAAGGGTAGAATGTTGGCATAGATTCCTGACATTTGCTGAAGTGAATTGTCTTTATGTGCATTGTCACTGCCATATTGTGGTTTCATCCAAATAGCTTAACAAATTTTAACACCGTATACTTTGCTCTCTTTTTTTTTGTTTCATGTGTAAAAAGCTCTGCTATTTAAAGGAGTGGATTAAGAATATATACATTTTTGTAGAATTGTCATTTCATTTCTACAATTGCCTGAGTTAGTCATTGAATGGTTTTTGATTTTGGTCTTGCAGAGGAAGCTGATTCTGAAATATGCTCACAAATATAGGTTGGGTCTGTGGAGGCCTAGAGCTGAGTCTTTGAAGGCCTAATTACTAAATCTAATCCTTTGAGAGCTATACTAAGATGTTGCTGTACCTCAGATTTATGGACGGGTGTATGTTTCCATGTGTCAGACTGAAAGTCTAGGATTTTTGGCCTCCAATGGACATTAGTTTAGTGATTTAGATGAAAATATCCAATGCATGGTTCACTGAATTTTGTGAAGCAAAATTGACTTGCATCCAAAAAATTATTCAATTTTTTTCTTGAGCAGTCCTCATACCCCTATGTATTAGTATTTCAATGTTTCAATTCCAATCTATTCATGTGAGATGTGAAAATGTATGTTGACATGTATTAACAAAAACGAAACAGAAAAGGATACGAAAAAAAATGAATAACAGAGTAGTAAAATAGTGAATCTGCAGAAATTTTTGTGAAAATCCATGGCTGCTTGGATGATGGGCAATCAGGTATGAAACCCTGGTCCCTTCAATCCTCAATACAACCAGGCCACAGGACCCTTTTATTTTGTTACAGCCCTTTTCCTTTTTAAGCCTTGAGAATGAGAAATAAAATCAGCATTCTGAGCAAATTTCTGGATACATAATTGCTGTTTACAACTCTACCAAACACGTTTGGAAGCTTTATGCACTTAAATTCTTAAAAAATGTCATAACCAGCCTAATACTTACTGTAGTTTGCTATCAGTTGCAGTAAAGTTTCCTCAACAAATAAATTAACTAGACTGAAGAAAACATGTCTGTCTGCATGACATTCAATAGTATTGCAAATTCGGAAGCAATTCCTCTCACCCTACAAGAAATAAATCCAAGTTTCACTGGATATACCTGAAGTGCAAAACCACATAGCAGAAGCAAAAGGTTGCTGGTAAAAATGCTGTAAGAGGTGAAACAAACCAATTTCATCAAAGCTCTACAAACAAGGGACCATACCTGGGAAGCTAGAATTCCATCCCCATCACTTTAACTCAACTTAAATCATTAAGTCTCCAGAGTTTATGGAGATCAAAACTCTTAATATTCGTTGTTGGAGAACTTCCTGCCATAAATCTATGACAGTTATTAAAGAAGACAGTATTAGCAATGAAAGATCAGCATGAACACTTTCATATGACCATGTTCTAAGTGATGACAGTGCATAACAGCTAATAAAAAACATGTAGTGCTGTCTGAAAATAGACAGCAAATCTCCAAAATCTCATTAAATTAATGCTGTCTGTAACAGATAACAGTGAATGAGGAAGGTAATCCCACAGGCCACACCTGTGCAGACTTCCAAGTTGTATCTGCAAGGTTTTGATTGTGTCAATACAAAATGAATGATGACAGGAACGTTAATGAGATTAGCTCGAACCTAATTATTGTTATTGTAGCAGGGATAGATGCACATCAATAAGAGACAAGAAAGAGCATTGCAAAGCAAAAAGGTATAAAAGGTGACGATGGTGGGTGAAGTATAGGAACCTTGGGAATGCAATATGGAGAACTCTGACCAATCAGCATCATACATGAGAACCCAAGATACCTAAAAACAAAAAAATCAATTCCTATTAGCAAATTTGAACTTGATCAAGAGTCTAATGGGAATAAATAAAGAACCAACTGAAAGTATCAGAAACTGGTCATGCTTTCAAAGCCACATCGGCAAAGCAATATCTCCAAGTAAACAAATTCCTTGATTCACAGAAACTGATTTGAATAATGAACTGTTTCTATATTTCTTAAGTACACTGTCGGTTGTTTTATTCATTCCATCACAATTAATGCTTGCTCTCCTTGTTCTGATTAGCTTCCAGCATGCCATTAATTCTTTAATTGTGTTCTTTTCAAAAGAAAAAATTCTTTAATTATGACAGATATGCTAATTATTCTTTATTGACAATTGAAGCCAAACAGTCCATCCTAGGAAAGAAATAATGGTAGGGTAATTGTTTCCAACATTCCATGCATTGAATGTTATCTTAATGAAACAGTAATTAAATGTACAAGAGAAAAACTTGTCTGAAAGACAAACAAGTAGGAGACATGCATGTTTGCAGTAATCTATAAAGTTTTGTTGAAGAGATGACTAACTAATTAATCTGTTCTTGAAGAAAATTAGTAAGTAACACATTGAATTGAAAGGCATATATACGGTTTCATGCATGGCATAAGCACGAGGAAACCAAGCAATTTAGAACAAGCAAATGCATGGGCGGCAAAGCTTGGTTTACCTTGGAAGATGACCACA